CGGTGGTGGGGAGATTGGAGCTGGCTGTACCTGTTGCGGCCCTGGCTGTTTGCCCTCTCTGGCGGAGTAGGCGAAGCCTGGGACCTGTCTGGAGTTGGAGGTATCTCGTTGGGGGAGCTTGAGTGGGAGCGGTAGCGGCTGGTGTGTGGGGCACTGATTGCCGAGCACACGCGGCTCCGTTCGGATGCTTGGCTTGTATCCGTCTGCTGACCCGAGGATGGTGGATAGCCGATGTCGAAGAGATCTTCATCTGACTCCGGCGAGTTGATCAGGATTTCGGGATCCATGGTGAGTAGCAATGTTCTTGTGGTAGCGTTTTAGCTTGTATTGAACTGTGACGACGCGCAGCGTGAATCACAGTCTGCCTGTCGATCTTTGAAAGATGAGACAAGCGGTTGCCGGAAGCTTTTGCCGGATATAAATAGGGGTGGCCGTGGTTTGAGGCGGAGTTTTAGGCGTGGCCATGCTCCTGAACCTATGTTAACATTTTAACCTCATTTGTTTAGATCACGCAGTCTGTTCTTCTTCTCTGTCTTCCGGTTGTTGCCTCTTTTGAATGACGAATACACACTGCCGCCGCCTGCTGGTTGGGCGAGTTATTGCCACTCACGCATGCGCAGTTCGTACGTGCTCGGCTGAAGTCTTTGCGGTGTGTTCCAGTGCGACACATGGCCAAGACACAGGAGAACACGGCGACGCAACAGTCGGCGTCGGCGAGTTCTCTGGTGACTGCTTGGTGTGTCTGGGCCTTTAACGGCTGCTCCGGTGCTGCTGCAGAGGAGGAGACTTGGAGCGCGAGCGCAGCCGTTGAACTCTTTGTGAGGCGTTCAGGGAACCTCTGTAAAATCTAGTGACAGAAAGATAACCTGGGTTACATACATTAATACAACATTACGTGTTGATAGAAATCAACACGTAATGAAATAAGACCCCTGTAGTGATCACTAATTTACTCATGTACATAATTCACTCATGGAACTACAGGTGGGGGGGTATTGTTTCCGCACGGACATATGTGTTGCCGATTGTATTTATTGTGTGCCCTCCTGGCTTCTTCTTCTCTTCCCGGGCTGCGACCCGACAACATGTCCGTTTCTGCTGCTCATTAAAGCACCACTTTTCACCTTCGATGCACCGCCTCCGACTCCTATCTCTCGGCACTACATTGGTGACCCTGACATAAGTCTCGCGAAGGATCCGAGACTGAACCGAACACGGCAAAAAACAAACACTGTTTTTCTCAAAATGCCGGAGATTTTTGGGACGCTCGCCATTTCCACAGCGTTTCGGCGCTGGGGGACAGCAAGCCTTCCATGGAGACGATACACGACCATGCCTGGTTTCTTCGGGACATGCGGCTGCATGTTTTTATCATGTTTTGTTGCCTATTAGCGTTTTATTTATTTATTTTTTAACAAATTGTACGGTGTCCTTGGGTGTCATGAAAGGCGCCTAAAAATAAAATGTATTATTATTATTATTATTATGTCCGGCTGCGCTCGCTGACACGGCTAACGGACAGCTAACGGCTTGCAGCTACCGGCCAGCAGCTACCGGCCAGCAGCTACCGGCTGACTGCTTCCATGTTAACATCTGACTGTTAACCCTTTTTTTGTGGTGCCGGAGAGGAGGTTCGATCAAGTCTGGTCGGCCTCGTGTGGATCCTCTCACAATTTTGCCCACCTGTTTTTGATCGTGGACAGGACAACCCTTTCGAGTTTTTTTTCTGGTGCCTGAGAGGAGGTTCGACCATGTCTGGTCGGCCTCGTGTGGACCCTCTCGCTTTTTCACCACCTCGACGGCGGCTTCGGGCGTCGCCCACGCTTTCATCGGCGCCTGGGTGGCGCGCTTCTGGACCCCGTCTCGCCTCGACAGTTTCGGACGTCGCCCATGCCTTCATCGGCCTGTGGGTGGCGCACTCCCGGACCCTGCCTGGCCTCTCCTCTAACCGCGACTCACGGTTCGCCTCGACGGCGGCTTCGGACGTCGCCCCGTCTGACCCCGTCTGGCCTCTCCCCTGTCCACGGCTCCTTCCTCCCGGGGATACTGCTCCTGCCCCCCGGGGATACCGCTCCATCTTTCCGGGGACTTCATGCCCGCCGCCGCTGTGCCTTTGCCTGCGACCGGGCAGCGCTCCTCCCTGCTGGGGACCACCGGGATATTCACGCCCGTCCCCACGTCGCAACACAGCGACCCAGCTTTCTGTGTGGGCTGTCTTTCATTTTGGGGGGCCTAGGTATAAAAGTCACGGCTCGTCACTGCTCAAAATAAGTACAGTACTTGAGTAAATCTACTTAGTTACTACCACCACTGCAGGTATTTTATGTGTGCTAGCAGCCCATAATCCACACTATACATAAAATAAATCAATGTGAATTCTGTTTCTAGTTTGTTTAGTTTTTCCCCTAAAACATAACCTATAAAAATACTGTTAAAGAACCGGATCGATAAGCAGTACTTGTAATTGTTTCAATTAGGCCTCATTATTTCACAGTGGCACAGGATCATCTGCCAATACAAGCACTTTTGTTCATGTTTAATCCATAATAAAATATGAAATTATTGTTGGATCTTTTTGTCTTGTTATTGTTAGCAGAGAAAATGTAATGTTTGTACAACTATATACAATTAATTCTACCAATCTCTGTGGGAACCGGGTTAGGGGGGGCTCGAAAATATTTCCAAAGGGGGGCCTGACTGAAAAAGGTTGGGAACCACTGCCTTAGCTAGTTAGAATTAGCCAACATTTATAGAAAGCTTTCTGGGAAGACCTCCCGCATAAAACAAAAATATATAAACAGTCATGTCAGCATTTCATCACTTCCTGTTATGTTTTGTTCTACGACAAAAAATACGTCAGTAAATACCCCACTGGTTCATTTAAAAACGGCGGTTGCTTACAAGTGTCTAAATGAGACGACTAAACGTCATCACGACCAACATAAGCCACCTTTAGCTTAGCGGTGGTGACGTGAAGTCATGTGACAAAGTCAAACGTCTCCTTAATTCTGGAAGATCACCACACACACACACACACACACACACACACACACACACACACACACACACACACACACACACACACACACACACACACACACACACAGAGATGTGGTCAGAAGAACAATTTCTCGTCTCTTTTTTCATTATTCTCTTGTTTAATATTCAAATATGAAGTGTGAAGTCAATGAACTCACTGCTTGATGCTGTTATTGTCCCTTTGAGGATGAGTTTAAAATGTTCACAGTATTGCTTCAAGTGTTTTGTCTGTTTTTGTGGTCCAGAAGTCCATGTGTTCCAGTTCCAGGTAGAAGAGATGAAGATGTGAAGATAGAGGTGAGACAGCTCACGAGTCCCAAATGTTGAGTTTAAAGTCCTTAACAAGTCTGTTTTTAGCCCTTTAACCAAAGCATTTAACATGTAAGAATTACAATTTTAATAATTATTCAAAGCAATTACCATAATAACCATTAAAACCTTATAAATCAGTGTATTAAATTAAAACAGAGCATTTTCTGTCAGAAATTGTCTGTGTTCTACGTCCTGCTTTTCAAAAATATATTTCGAGCACCTTGAGATGACAGATAACATTTATTACTATAATTGCTGTCAAAGCTCAAGTCAATAATCAAGTTTATATTTTATTTTACTGAGACAAAAGTCATATTTGTGACTCTGTGAACCCGTCCATCCTATTGGCTTTTCTCTTTCTTTATCCCAGTGAGAGAAAATATAAAGACACATTTTAAATATCTAAATATAAACCCCAAAATATCCTTATCACAGTTACGGTTAAATCTAGATTTTTGGGAAAATATGCATGTCTCACATTTTTATTAGGGCTGTCGGTCGATTAAAATATTTAATCGCGATTAATCGCATGATGTCCATAGTTAATCGTGATTAATCGCAAATTAATCGCACATTTTTTATCTGTTCTAAATGTACCTTAGAGGGATATTTTTCAAGTTTTTAATACTCTTATCAACATATGAGTGGACAAATATGCATTATGCAAATGTTTGTTTATTATCATTGGAACAATGGCAAATATTCTCCTGAATATTTTCAATACAACAACCTGGAACCTCTCACTCTCTCTTACACTCTCTCCCAACCCTGTCTACTTCTCTGCACTGAGCCAGTTGCTCAAACAGACAAGCCAGTTGTCGGCAAAATGCTGCTCCTCTGTCTTCATAACAGTCAAAGCATGAGACTGAAGTTCCCACCTAGGGTCAAAATAATGCGCTGTGATGTGCAGTCGACACGTTGGATGCGATGCGAATTATCTAACGCAGCCCCGCGTCATGGCCCCCTCAGCACCCCCATCTGTGTGGCTCCACTAGCACCCTCCCCCCCCCCCCCCCCCCCCAGCGCGTCACAGTTTCTCCGCTGCGAGGCTCCACTAGCGACCCCCCCACAAGCGAGCGACAAGAGCGGGGCTGTCAGCATCAGCTGTGTGCTTGGCTTGGCAAGTCTTTGCGCTCTGAAACTACGGGGCGGCCGAGGACAAATACACATGCGCTAATCGCACGTTAAAATAATTAGTGGCGTTAAAAAAAAATTGCTATTCTTATTAACGCGTTAACTTGACAGCCCTAATTTGTATAATATCTTAATTCAAACGTAAATCACTTAAAAACTGAAACCACGTTCAAACACTGGAATATTCTTCCAGCTGGGATTAAAACCTGGTGCAACATTTTTTATATTTAGCCAACATTAATTACACTGTAATCTGAGTTTTTCAAATGTAATTGTATTGTAATATTATATTTTAACTTTACTATGTACTATTTTTTTGACCTGTACCTTTTTTTTATAATTGTTAGTGTGACAGAGATTATGCAATGTTTTTAGTGTCTGTTAATTGTTATGTACCTGCCTCAGGACTGCAGATGGAAATGAGCTATTAGCTGAAATCTGGCATAAATCGTCTCTTCTCTTTTCTGAGATCCTTGCTTAAATAAATACATAAATAAATATTCAAAAAGCACCAATATTCTATTTAATACATTTCTTTTTTAAATAATAGTCATTATTATTCATTCGCAGCATTTTCTGTCCTTCTGCGTAAACAGAAACAGCGTTGACGTAATTGTTTACGTCATAAAACAACTCAGTAGAAAACTGTTATGCATCGGGGAGAAGATGATCACAATGAATAATCCAACATCAACATTTAAAGTCGGTAAAAGATCCAACTGAGTTTGTTTCCTTAAGTTGCTGAATGTTTTCTAAATGCTGCATGTGTTGTCAAGTTGCTGAAGATGTGTCTTCATGTGTTTTGGCACATTTGTATTTTCATATTTGCATCGTTTTTGAAGCTGCAGTGTGTTCTGGGTCGTTGTAACGTGTTTGCACCTGTCAGCCACCTTAACTTTCCCCTCTGCGTTTCGTCTCAGCAGTGAAACTTGAAGACGATCATGACAATCCTCTTGTACTCCTTCCTGAAGTTGTGGTTCAGGGCTCCGTAGACGACAGCGTTTAAGCAGCTGTTAAAGTACGCCATGAAGTAGCTCGCCGTGAACAGCCACTCCGGTATTGCTTCGCCCAAACGGGAGTCCAACGCCACCGCTAATCCGATGAAATTGAGCGGCGCCCAGCAAACGGCGAAGAGCACGAACACTACGAACATCGTGAGGAAGTTGCGTAAGTCGTGCGGTTTGATCTTCAGTCGCGTGTCCGGCTTCACCCTCCGCCTCACCTGGATGACGAGGATCCAGATGCACAGGTAGCAGTAGCTCACGATGCTAATGGGCAGAATAAAGTGCACCACCACAACCGTAATGGTGTAAAAAGAGCTTACGGATTGGGCGAAAGTACAGGAGTAAACGCGCGGGTCGTATTTCAGCGATTCCACAAACCAGTTGGGCGCGATGGCGATAATGGTGAGCGCCCAAACTAGCACCACGTAGCACATGGTGTTCCTGTTGGAGAAGATCTTGTCGTACTTGAGGCTGTGGCAGATGTAGCAGTAGCGGTTGATGGCGATTCCCGTGATGTTGAAGATGGATCCGATGACGCTGAGGCCCATCAGGAAGCCGCTGATCTGACAGTGGATGTTTCCCGCGATCCAGCCGTCGTTAAAGATGGCAAAGAGGACGAGCGGGTACGGGTAGATGGCGACGACCAGGTCAGCGAAAGCTAGACTCACCACGAAGGCGTTTCCTGCAAGACAAGAAACAGGATGTGAGTAACGGGATACATCGAACTGATTGATTGGTTGTTTTGGACATTTCTAAGGTTGTTAAGTCTCGCCAACAGTCAGGATGGAGGATCAGGGTCATATGCAGTCATTTAAATTGACCGGACTTCTTTCAGTGGATTTATATGACCGCACATAGTCCCTTGATTGGAGCTTCCTCCAAGCAACGGTCTGTTGTCCTTAGCAACGGTCTGTTAGCGAGAATTAACAACCTCTCGAATGTCCAAATTGACCAATCAGATTTGAGTATTCAACTAAACCTTGTATTAAGAGACACATAATCAATAGTTGGAGCATAAATGTAAAGTAAACCCATTTGTTTGCCTGTAGCTTTGCAGCTAGTGCATATGTACAGATAATATCCTGAGTGGTTGAAGGGAAAAATCAGGTGAGGTTTATAATGGAACAGAGCTCGATATTTTCTGGCATTTTTGATAAGATCCAACAAATATAATGACAACTATCTAAGAAAAAAGTGTTGACAGAAAAACTGCAGACAAGGCCATACACAACAGAATCAAAACAACAACAGTGAAGATGCCGCTCTGTACAGGATGATAACAAAGAAACTAAAATAGCATCCGACGAAACAGACGAGCAGCAGCAGACTAACACCATAAAGCCAAACTCAACATCACATTTTCCCCCAATTTAACTTTAATAGCATATGGACTCTCCACCGCTCATCACTGCCACTTAAATGCATCACAGGGTAATGAATACAACTGTCCCAAACTGCCGATGTAAACATTTAGTCCAATAATCTGCAATCTCACCGCTTCAGACTGCTAATGACGGGCTATATTTCTTCCCCAGTGAGGTAGTAAACACTGGTTTGAATGCCAGTCACAGTGGTAGGTTTTTGCAGGGTTTAACACTGTATAACATTTACCAAGTTCTCACCCTGCTAATGTGGTATAAAGGTCTCACAGACGGGGAAATTAAGTGTGATTTAGGCGTTTAATTCATCTGTTCCCACAATTGGAGCTGTATTTCTATACTTACTGAGTATTTTAGATAAATGAAGCACAATGAAATCAGGTCTTCAACCTTATAACCGTTTATCGTAGTTTAAAGGGCCCCTATTGTGCAAAATCCACTTCTTCATGTCTCTTCTACATCAACATGTGTCCCCTCTTCTTCATGTCTCTTCTACATCAACATGTGTCCCCTCTTCTTCACGTCTCTTCTACATCAACATGTGTCCCCTCTTCTTCATGTCTCTTCTTCATCAACATGTGTCCCCTCTGTGTAAAGAGACTCTGAAAGTTTCAGGAACAAAGATTCTCTCTCTTTCTGTCCTGATCCATTTATATAAAAACCTGTCTGAAAATGAGCTGATCAGATTTTGGCCACTTTATGATGTCATAAGGTTTGTTTGGCTTGTGTAACCATGAGCCAATCAGCAACCAAGGTAACCCCCCGCCCCCTTATCACCTGAATCTCCTCCTAGAGCACCAAGAGCCGCGTTCACACCGGAGTACTTTTCACCGTACTTTTCGCGTTTAGTTCCGTTAGTACCCCTTATGTCGCGTTCACACCAAAAAGAGCACTTAATCCCGAGAACTTTTACCCCCATGTTTAGTGCCTGCTGAGAGATGGTACTTTCCTGGGAAAAAAGTGCCCCAGTTCTGATTGGCTGGGCGAATTGCAAACCACGCCCCGTAAAACTCTGAAATGTTTTGTAGAGCCGCCATTTTATTATCTTCGCATTAGCATTATTAGCATTAGCATTCGCCCAGCGCACAAACGCAGAGAGACTAACTTACGGCATCACAAAATAAAACATGGGAGCGGTGGAGATGAGGAGGTGTCGGCGTTCTGGCGATTTACTCGGAAGGCTTCAGTAGAAGCTGCTATTGTGTTCTTTGTAACCAAATCTCTCTCAGAGGGGCGTGGGGAGGGGCTCCTTATTTTCATCTAAAGTAACAGACAGAGAATCAGCACTTTGGAAACAGGGCTGAAACAGAGGGGATTATGGGTAATGCTGCAATGATCTGTTTGGTGTTTCAGCCAATCAGAGACATGTTCTGTATATATCTGAGACCTGTGATATATTGATGAAAAACAGTATGATAGGGGACCTTTAACCGGTTAAATGACGAGTGTTTCATGTGAAACAATGCGTCACCTGCAAGCTTATACGGACTGATGACTGAAGTCTAATGACCTTTAAATAAATAATACGTTGTTAATGTGTGCTTATCAGGTTAATTGCAAGCAGGATTTTTTATGTTTTTATTGTTTAATGCAAGTCGAAGAATGTAAAGGAGTATTTATGCAGACCGAGCCGACAGTACGCAGCCACGTTGCAGTGAAGTGTTTCTGTATTTTCAGAACAAATAAAGATAAAATCATCTGCTTCTGAATGTGGCCAAGACCAGAGAGATGGTCATTGATGTCAGGAGGAAGAGGACGTCTCCTCCGCCCCTGTGCATTCTGGGAATAGGATGTGGCTCTTGTGGAGGACTTCAAGTACCTGGGAGTACACTTAGACAACGGACTGAACTGGAGGATCAACACTGACGCTGAGATCCTTCAACTTGTGCAGCAAGATGTTGGAGATCTTCTACCAGTCTGTGGTTGCCAGTGCTCTCTTCTTTGCTGCTGGGTTTGTTTATGTTTACATTTTAGAATTGTTTATTTATACTCTTTTAATTTCTCTTATATGTAATGCCTTGTCTTTTATGCTGCTGCAACGCAAACATTTCCCAAATTGGGATCAATAAAGTACATCTTATCTTATCTTAAAGCTCACGTATTATGCTATATTTGAACTATATATTATAGGGCCATATCTATACAAAACATGTCAATCAATCAATGTTTATTTATATATAGCCCAATATCACAAATGTTACATTTGTCTCAGTGGACTTCACAGTTTGTACAGAATATCAGTATGACAATACGACACCCTCTGTCCTTAGACCCTCACATCGTACAAGGAAACACTTCCAGAGAGAAACCCACAGTTTAAAGGAACATGGGAGAAACCTCAGGGAGAGCAACAGAGGAGGGATCCCTCTCCCAGGACGGACAGACGTGCAATAGATGCCGTGTGTCAATCGAAGAGATAATACGTTTACAACATAGGTCGACCAAATGTTTGGAAATGCATGTGTCTATAATAAGAAGATGAATCCACGAGGATGTCAACAATCCTGTGGGAGCCATCAGGGAAGTAGTATGATGAGAGTCAGGCAGGACCACAGTGACAGGTTCAGCCACGACTCGAAGTCCAGGACTCAGGATCCAGGACACAGGACTCAGGATCCAGGACTCAGGATCTAGGACTCAGGATGCAGGATCCAGGACACAGGACTCAGGATCCAGTACTCAGGATCCAGGACTCAGGATCCAGGACTCAGGATGCAGGATCCAGTACTCAGGATCCAGGACTCAGGATCCAGGACTCAGGATCCAGGACTCAGGATGCAGGATCAAACATGTCTCTGAAGTGTTTTCCTCAAAATACTCAGCTGCCGTGATGAAACGCCATATTAGGTTCCAAACCACATCAAGCATTATTTCTGAAACAGTATGGAGCTGAAATGCTTTTTCTCTCACGGGTTTACCACAAGGGGAGTACCTTTTTGTATCCTGCTTCTTTACACATAATCAAAAAGAGCATTTTGCATAATAGGTGACCTTTAAGTCCCTTCTGTGTCCAAGTGTGCAACGTATGTGTAACAACATTCAGAGCTAATGACTTCAGATCTCAGCAACAGTCTGACTCTCAGAGCTGCTGCGGGTCTAAACCCTCCCTTCTTCTGCAGCTGCTTTAATGAATGCGTCTTGGTGGAAAGCGTTTATTAAATTACATCTTCACACCCAGAGGAGTGTGTGATGGCAGCGTTATGAACACCTTGTTGTGCTAAACTATGCAGCAGCATTCAGTATTTATCGCCCCCTGAATCCATCTTCATTATGAACAAGCCTTATTGTTCTTTATTCTGCACGGCAACTACTTCATCTTATTGATGTCTTATAAAGAAAAAAGACCTCGGAGCAAAGAGACTCGTTAACTGGGAGTCTATTTGTGTTAGTACGTGCTTTTGTCCTAATTACTTTTGTGTCCTTTGTGACGACTCCTAACAAGGTAGATGTGCTTTATGTTAATCAGTGAGGACCAGAAATGCTGCCAGGGTAAGAAGGTACATTTTCTGTGTAGTTCAGGGAATAATACTCACCTGATGCTTCACCTGCTCCAGGGTTATCACACATTGCTTCATCTCCAGCTCTATCAACATTTACTTGGCAAAGAAACAGGTTTTAAGCACATTTTAATCACCAATATGTGATTAGTTTATCCAAATGATGTATTTTGGGGATTTTACGGCAGTGTTTGGAGACGTGGGAAGCTGCTGGTTGGTTTAAAAAACACATGTCTATGTTTTTATAACTTCTCTCACTGCCTGAACGTAGACACAGATCCTCGCTGCAGGTTTGAACCATATGGTGTTTATAATTATTATAATTTAAACTTTGAGAGCCTCCAAATTACCGACAGCTAGAACATTAGCTGACTAGCCTGTTAGACGTTAGCCTTCTTCTCCATCCATCTCTTCTCCCGTCTCTTCCCCTACAGGTTAATAAAATATGTTTTCCAGAGTAATACTGATGTGATGCGGTCACAGCTGTGTGTTTAAAGAGTAAGAGTATTCATGGTCTACTGTATATGTTGTACTTTTTAATGCTGTTTTAATTCTATTTTGAGATGTTTAAATTATAGTATTGTTTATTTCTACTCTTTAATTTCTACTGATGTGCAAAGCCTTGTTTTGTTGTTTTTGATGCTGCTGCAACGCAAACATTTCCAAATGTGGGATGAATAAAATAACCTCTTATCATCTTATCTTATTTTTCCAGTGTTTTATAATCAATTTAGACTTGTGCCTCCTATTTGTATTACCATAGTAAAGAGTAAATCATCATCATCATCAGCTTTATTTAAAGAGAC